ATTACTTTCGAATGTGCACTGCGTTGCGACTGTAGTGCTAAGGAAACAGTTAAATTTTAAAAGCGCGGTTTTAAGATCTAACAGATCTTCTTGTTGCTGTAGTACATGTGTACTTGTGTCATTATGAACTTCAAGTAAACACAAACCATACATGTCAGACAGTCCTTAACATTTTCACCTCGGATCGCAACTCAAATGTAGTTTATGTAAAAATGTAGACCAGTTCTATTGTGAATGATTTTGCCCACAAAAACAGTTGCAGATGTTCCTAGTAAATTTATGCTGTAATGGTATTGGAAGCTCTGACTGAGAAGAAGCACTATTTATCACTTACTTGTAAGCATGAACATGTTACAGAGAAACATAATGGGTATTAAACATTGTAATATTCATTATCAATCATTTAAAGTACAATAGACCATAACACAAACCTTTGTCTCCAAAGAAAAACACAATTGGGTTTGTTTTGTTGAGTTGTGAAATTGTTTGCGATAAGCTACATGTAGGAGGAACAGAAATTTGTCAGAGAATAGAGCTCCTTATTTGAAGGTTTTTCTGTACTTAGCTATTAAAAAAATATTCTGACAACTCAGTGAAAGGATACCAAAGTTGTATTTACTTTGGGCATGACACTTCATGCTATGATCTGCCAAGCTTCAATTGGTTGATGACTAATCATTGATAGCCAATTAGATAATTTTCTCCAGGATGTGTTCATGCTTAGATGCAGCTATTGTAAATATGTCAGTGATTTTTGTCTGCAAAATCTTTTTCTTCTATGGATCCGCATGAGGCAAGCTTTTTAATAAACAATATCTCTTCGATGTTATGCAGGCCCTCCCATTGACCGTTCTACTCACCATACTTACAGAAGTACTCCTTCAGGTTGGTTTCGGCAATTCATATATTTTGATTTCTGCAAAGGTCTGAATAAGTATCACAAAATCACTTCTTCTTCTTCTTCTTCTTCTTCTTCTTCTTCTTCTTCTTCTTCTTCTTCTTCTTCTTCTTCTTCTTCTTCTTCTTCTTCTTCTTCTTCTTCTTCTNNAAAAAAAAAAAAAAAAAAAAAAAAAAAAAAAAAAAAAGCACTGTGATGAAGGATCTAGCTATGGTATTTGTGTGTTTCTGTTTCTCTTTACTTTTTTTTTGTGTGTATTTCTTCTCATTTAAAACTAAATGGTGATAAATAGCGTATTACACGATAGCTAAAAAATAGGACTTTTATAAACGTCTGAAATATTAAAAGTGAAATGTTATAAAATTGTAAACGGTTTTGTCCCCATAAAATTGGTGCAAAAAAAGCTAACTAGCTAACACCTGTAGCACACTATCAACTGAATTGAAAAGAACAAATAATTGGTGTAAATTTATTCAAAGTCTTAGGGTTACATATGGTAAGCTAAGTCAAGTGGGTTGACAAGGCCTGTTTGATGTTATATGGGCCATTCCGCAACTCAGATCTCTTCTTTGGGAACTAGTTCAACAGGTTCGTTTCTTAAGTTCTTTATTTCTGTCATCTGTCATCTTCTCTATCATCACTTCTATCTTTTAACCAAACCAGTCTTGTTATCTCACATCTAACGCACTGACAAGCAGTAGTGATGACAATGTTTATGTTGTAAAAAGGGTTGCAGTTGTTCATCATATTGAAGTACAGTAACAATAAGTACTGTCATTTGTTTCGTAATGCGGCCTTTCATGATGTAGATCTCATCAGGCAAAAAGGTCGACTGGTTATGTGTCACCTACAAAGCAATTATGCTCTTTTGTAATCATGCAATGACAGTACTGTTATTATTGAATAATCTTCATCTCAGTCAGCTCCAATCTATAAATCATAATCGAACAGTTCATGAATTCAGTGAATTAAATTAACAAATGTAAAAGCTAATTCCTATGAACTGAAAACACTGTGACAGATACACTGTTTAGCTAAGAAAAAGGACTGACTAAATAAATTATTGTTAAAAGAGCCACACATGTTCTGTAATAAGTAAGAGCCTGTTACATAGATAAGACAAGAGGTACAGATGCTGTCATCCAGTGCTGAGATTTTTTATAGTTTACATGTATCATTCTCTTTGAGTTGTTTAAGGAGGGCACATTTTATTACTAGTCATTTTAGACCATAACAGTGAACCCAAGTATCTTATTTAGTGTTCACCATATTTCACCTTGTTTTAAACTAATTACAAATTAAACAGTTAATGTCAGTTGTGTAGGCAGAAGAAATTTTTGTTAGTCACCTCAATGACAAATCACAAGAGCCCTGGGTGAAGCAGTCTTAGTGGTTAGGGCACTGGACTCTAGACTGAACAATTTGGTTTCATTCTCTGGCCAGGGACGTTGCGTTGTGTTCTTGGGCAAGGCACTTTACTCTCACAGTGCCTCTCTCCACCCAGGTGTATAAATGGGTACTGGCAAATTTAATGCTGGGGGTAACCCCGCAATGAACTATCATCCCATCCAGGGAGAGTAGAAATACTCCTAGCTACTTCATGATACAGAAACGGAGATACGCTCCAATGCTGTGGAACACTTAAACCAAGAGCAGACTCATTTATCTTTGTGCATGAACGTTACTTATCAACCCTACACAGTCTGCCCAGACTAGTTCATGATGTTATAGGTACACACTTTACAATTACAAGGCAAAGCAAAGTCAACTCAGTTTGATGAGCTGTTTTAGAAAAACAAGTAAATATCTCAGGGCGCTGGAGAATATCGATGTTTAGATAACCTAATTTACATAAAATGGTCGAAATGCTTGAAAACACACAATTAGACTAACGTATGCGTGGTCATTTGAGTTGACAAGGTGTCTTTAATTATTAATATTATTCCTCAGCAGAACCCATGCCTGAAGGACATTCTACAGGTTTGTTACCGTATTTTTGTTTACATCTTGAGTATATGTAGACCCTTAGTAGAGTCTGCCATATTATCTGCTCATTCAATGTATAAAGCCTTTTACAAGCATTTTCAATATGTGGCAGCCATTAAATGATTGACTTTGCCACTGGTCAGCACTCAGCTAACTTAAAGCATACTACAATAAGGGCTGATTTGCTACCAGTGAAGGGAACAGTGAAGAATTACATTTAAATTGCTAGGTTTTACTTCCGTCCTCACTGGATATCCAGCATAACCCAGTAGGAAGAAATAAATTACCAATTCGACTATTCAGCCAATCCCAAACCGTACTAAAACCAAAATCAGAACCAAAGTAATATTGCCTGATTATTTTATACACTCAATTGAAAACTGCTCTATGCCACAATGTTTGCATGATTGCCTGTATGATTTCGGTTTTATTTTTGTCATCATTGTTATATTTCTATTAGTTTTCAAATGTCTCCACCAGTGTGATCACTCTGCAGCAACTGCACGTGCAGTACACTTCGGCCCTTGGACTTCTATGCCTCCCGACCCGACTTGGTGTTTGATTTGCTAGCTTGCAGAAAGATGCGACAGTTCACTGTTGTCTAAATTACGCGGGAGTTTCACTATAACAACAATAGCTAACCAAGGCTCTCTTTTTTTCTCTTTGTTGTAACAGGTTACCCACCTACTGGTAGCATTGGTGCTCGTAAAGGAAAACATCCCAAAGGTACATTATGGTGGCTTGTTGTTGTTGTTTTCTACCCTTCCTTTGGCGACTTGATCTCTCAGCCCTAGTTGTTGAAGGGATCGTGTCGTTATTGATGGATTACTGCTGTTACTCCTCCATTTTTTACAGTTTAATAGCAACATTTATAGATGATAAAATAAAAATATTCACAAGTGATGAGATAAGAAAATGACGATAGAAAATACAACGGAAAATAGTATGACAAAGGCTCTTTTCTCTATTCACCGGAGATAGTAACTGAATCCGCTGAATAACGTTACTCAATCTGAAAAAAAAACGGGGCGTGGCAAATTGGTGGCTTAAGAAACAAAGGGCACTTTCCATTCAACAAAAAATTCCGAAAATTTCGAAATGGGGAACTCCGGAAGAATGGTACGGAAATTTCCTGGGAAAGTTTTATGAAAATCCGGAAATTGTTGAGTTTCCGAAAAGCGAACCATTCAACCGAGAATTGCGGAAATTCCGGGAGTCAAATGGAACGGTAGTTCCCAGTAAGAAATTTCCGAAAATTTCGGTATACCTCGCGAGGTTGTCCCCTTTTACGTAGATTCCGGAACATGCTGTTCCATTCGTCGCTGGAATTTCTGGAAATTCAAACCGGGATTTTTTCTTGTATGGAAAGCGCCCAAAGACTCTGTTTTCCTTCTTTGTCTCACAGATGACTCTAAGAAGTTGTCCACTGCTGCCATCATTGGTATCTGCGCAGCTTCTGTGTTTGCCATCCTGATCGTGCTGGCTGCTGGAGTGTACTGGAAGAAATATCATCACCGCTCTCGCCTGCGAGCTGCTTACTACAACGACATATCAATGCATGATCCCTTGTACGAGGACTTCGGTCCGGAGGTTGCATAAGCTAGGCATAGCCCTGATTTGCACATCCGCCATGGCGGAATTGTATTGAGAATGAATAGTTTTAAAGGAGCTATGTCTTGAACAGCGAATCTTGGAAAAAATTGGCCAACTTTTTCAACTTGCCTTAGTTTCGTTAATTGTAACGATTCTTGTTCATTTTCGGTTTAATACTTTTCTTTTGTGTTTTTCTACTTTGAAAAGGTGTTATTTGGAGATTTGTGTCAATTTGAAAGTAATTTTGTACAACAGGAAAAAAATGACTTGAGGTCTTGCGGCATAGCTCCTTTAATGGTAATCTTTTTTTTTGTTGTTTTTTGTTGTTGTTGTTGTTGTTGTTTATTTGTTTGTTTTGGGTTCTTTAGGTGCAATCAGCTTTTAATATCACAACAATTGCTTATGACGGGTCGTTACTTTATGAAAGACGCAATCCTTTGAAAAATGAGTACATTTATTGTTTCAAAAGATGAAAAAGACTGTTTGTACACAGTTTGTAGCTTTAATGCTGTGTGTACGAAGCTATTGTTTCAAACGCAATATAGTTAAGAGTCCTAACTGACAGGAGGCTAACCAGTTGCATGCTGTGTACATGGTATGGCCAGTTACTTCAACTCGTCACTACCAAGGACAAATCGAGTAAGCGGAAAGATGGCGGGCTTGAACCCGAGAACTCCAGGTTCTAAAACCAGCGCCACAACCGTTTGGCCAAGCTGCTTACCTCCTGCTTTTTTTTCCATATTAGCAGAATGATGATTTCCATAAGTTACTTCACTTTGTTTTGTTTAGTCAAGAGTTGAAGTACGTGTGGAGGGGACATAATTTAGTGCACAAAAAAACCCTCCCTGGAAGGCCTTGATTGATCCTAACGGTTCAATATCATTTTCTTATATTTTCCATCCAAGATTGGTATTGGGTCGAGATGATTCCCCTGACACGGTCAAGGCCTTGATTCTTATAAGCTGTCGGATGAATTTGGTATAAAAATAATTGAGAGAAGTTACAGATTAATCACTGGTGACAAGGGTTGAAATTTTCAAGGTTCTTGGATCGCATTGCCGGCACAATGTGACCAGGGCAAATGTTTTCAACATTCCTCGGTACAAGGTGACGAGATACGTATGAACAGAACGTAAACAAAGTGTTTCAAAAGAACATCTTGACTTTAAAGTTGGTTATACCAAGTAGATCATGTACTTTGGTACACGATAATTTAAGCATTTCAGGGGAAAAAAACATATTGGTTTACTTCAAAGCTAGATTGAACAAAGCAAAGCCCGAAGCCCTTCTTTTATTCATGTAATTCGCTGATTGCACAACGTATTTAATATAATACAAATAATAAGCTTAATCTCTTTTTAGTATCAGCTGTATGGTCTAAAATCAATGTTTGGAGTACCGTAAGGCACACAGGCGCTACTAATCGGAGGCTACTGTGAAAACAAAGTACGAAACTTTAGGCTTTTTATGTACGTGTATCATGACCTTTCACAAGCTTAACCCCAAAATCAATGGTTGGAGTACCGTAAGGCACATAGGCGCTAGTAATCAGAGGCTACTGTGAAAACAAAGTATGGAACTTTAGTCCTTTTATGTACGTGTATTCTGACCTTTCACAAGCTTAACCATATCGATACCTTTATTGCACTGTAGTCGCTGTAGGCTAAAGCAAAATTCATTTTTGTGATTACAATTTGTTCCTGTCAGGCGCTGGCGTGACGAGCCTGAGCTGTCACGCAAACGTCAATTTAGAAGGAAGAATTCCTTGTATAAGTACAACCAACTTAATATAGCCCTTCAAATAAAAGAACAAATGTTTTCTGCTTTTCCACGGTTATATAATGATAATCGGTGCTATAGCAAATCGATTTTTTTTTAATTTAGTTAGTATGACTATGGAAGTATTTAGTTATCCAAGTCTACCATTTTACGTTTTTGTTGTATGCTATTTATTGTACTTGTAACAAACTGTGATATGTACATAGTTTATTTAGGGCTTGGGAGGCGTGCTAAAAATATGGACGGTTGTACTCAATTGAATTTGTTAATGTTTTTAAAGTTGCCTTTTTGGGAGTAAATGAATAAACGTAGTCACTGTGCACCGGTAATGAATAGCGGTTGTTGTTGTTGTTGTTGTTGTTGTTGTTGTTGTTGTTGTTGTTGTTGTTGTTGT